GCTGCATACTTTCCTCTTTCGCTTAGGCAGATAGGGTACTTAGACATCCGCCTTGCAGGGGGATCCCCCCCCCGCCCCCCAGGGTGAGAGATACTGTAGGAGACCGCGAATGTCCCGTTCAATGGAGCGGCTGTTACTCTTAAATTAGATTTTTCTATCGTTTTCGAACAAAACCAATCTGAGCCAGGTTTTACAGGTATTTATTTTCACGTGTAAATAATGTAGAGTACAATTCTTATTTCCATTTATTTGTGCAAGCGTTTTTTTTTTTTTTGACTGAGTTAAATGTCTTAATAAAATGTTTGTATGTCACAGCATGCAAATAATGTGCGATACTGTCATTTGAACGATCGCAAGCATAATGCACTATAGCGGTATTAACTGGGAGATCACAGCCAGCTAAGTTTCATAAGAAGCAAAGCTGTCGTCCCATCGCGACTCTAGAATAAGATATTTACTAACGCAGTCGAGCGAAATGGCATCCAATATTACAGCTGGTAATGTAAAGGACTGCAATTGCTGCTACTTGTCTGATCGCCAATTTTGTTCAACAGCGAATCAATGGATACAAACAATTTGTTTTAATTGTTTTAGATGTTAATAGATACGAAATGTATGATCGTTTGATTATCTAATAAGTGTACATCTACGGTCATGTAGTTCGAATTAAAGATCTTTTATCAATACATGTTTGTATAATGTCAGGTTTACCGCGGTGATGGAGATTACATTAGATTATTTTCAATACATTTATTTATTTAAAATGACATGCTTAGATTGCCTGATTCACTATAACATACCGTACCACAGATAATAATAAGGGTTACACTGTAGGCAGAGCAGCACGGTCATTTCCCTAATAAATGCTTTAATGTGTTTCTCGCATCATGCGGTACATTGGAATACGTTGTATCATCCTGCGTATATGCCAATATGCGTTTGACATTTTAAGAGGGAAAAAAACAGTTTTCTTAAAGTTTTCACACCTTTATCAAACTCTTGACTAGAATGGAAAAACTCCAACGGCAGCGAGCAACTCAGATCGGTTTATGATATCCGGTTAAATCAAATGAGGATCCGAAAGTAAAACCACACCATTAATTACCATAGTAGCCGATATAATATAAAACTACAGCATGTAAAATTGTGCTGTATCATTTACATGTAAGGAATTATCTCAGCAGTTTTAATAATCCAATTTAATTAAAAACGCATAATGGCGTATAGGCAAGATGGGTGGAACAGTCTTGTATGTAGCGATATGTCTGTACTATTGATACGTACAAATTGGAGAAACATTTTAGTGTCCTGGGATATTAAGGTTAAAACTCAGTGTTTCCAAACGGAATGTTGTTAAGAATAATGTTTTAATAATATTTAATAAAAAATAAATCTGTGCCCGTTTTTTTTCTATTCCTTCATGCTAAACTTGTCATTAAACATGAAACAACGTTAAATCTGACAGGTTGTATAATGCAAACATCGTTACACGTCAAGCGTGATCGAAATCCGATGGACGCGACGATTCCTTATCTCACTAAGAAAAAAATCACTTCAACCACGATCTTCCCTTTCATTTCAGCGCCGCGTCACTAACCAAATGCCATTTTCTGAGGTTTACCAACATTATCGACAGCCTGTCTACGTCTCTTGGCAACTATTTCGTTAAATAATATGTTTAGTACTCCAAATAACTGCTATACTTAATCGTTAATTAATTAAAATTCCACAGCCTTCGGAAATAATTATATCCTTCATTGCAAATTTCTGAAATACCGGTAAAAGATAATGAATAATGATCAGACAAATTAAGTATATCCAACCATATCCTGCTTTAGTAACAACCACGTAGGCCTAGTTTAATGTAATAATACTAAATAGTTTTCTTCTCTGAGTCACCTAAAGATAATCATTTACTATAAGTAGTTACATCTTTTTTTCTTTTATAAATATTCGTGAAATATAAAAAACAAAACAAAAACAACCAACGTGGATAGTAAACATTTGGAAATAAATTATAATGACAAGATATTTTCATGAACAGAGGAATGCGTTGTGCAACAAAACAACTCGTTTATATCACAATCAACTAAATGAAAAACATTTGGATCGACAAAGTGTGGATGCCAAGGAATTAAAAGGTACTCCTGAAAATTAGTTCGAGCATTAAACACGCAGACAGCATTCCGAATTGACTATTACTTGCTATTTTAAACTTTCCATGTTGTGAGTTTTCATGAAAATAAATAAGTATACAGGCCTATTTAACTTTACTTGAAAACGAGTAACAGTAAATATGTTTTCTCAGCAAACCCTGAAGTCTCATGCGCACTTACACTGCGGTCGTAAGAGACTCGGTTTTTTTTTGATAAAGTTATACAGCTTAAACCAAGCGGTAATATTTGAGTGTTCATATGTAATGGATAAACGTATGTTACTGATAAAGACATTACCTTTGAAAATCTTACCCTAAACATGCACCTCAGTAACACCAAAGATGACAAATTAAGAATAAAAAAGTTGTTGGATTTATTTGTCAGTACCACTAATATTTTTTGCGCACCCACAGTGTCTGAGGTCGCCTTGGCGGGTGGCTGTCTGATATACGGAATGTAAAGGTGTGTGCGTTTTTTTGCGCAATTAATGAAAATTGATATTTTCCATTATAGCGCAGCCTCGACCTGCATGAAGACGCGCAGCTGCTCATGTGTCTTGGTCTGGATTCGTCCAGCGGGATTTTATTTTCGACTTTCTGTCTAAAGCCCGCAGACACGAGTGAGACATTAACTGAGGTGACTTCTTTCTCAAAGCAGCCTTTATATTTGCCGTTTATTTTCTCTCTCATACCACAAGACCAGATCTTATGAAGTTTGCAGGAAAAAGTCGCATCAGACGTTTCACAACAAGTAATTTGCCAAAGCGATTTTCAAAAGCTTTTCCGAGGGTTTATGTCTCATTTAGAAAAACATAAGCTCTGCCTCTCTTGAGTTTGTCTTAAAATTTGCATGGTTTTCGATGTGCCGTCGATGTCCTTCATATTGGCAGGGATTTTAACATTGTAACATAACTGACTTTATTCATTTTTGTGGTGCGTGTCAAAGTTTGAGGTCACTTGTGACAGAGCAAAAAATCAGACAGCCGATCACCATCTTTTTTCGCTCTGCAAAGTGAACAGCCTTACATTCTCTGAGTAATAAAACCATTAATGCACGTACAAAGTAAAGTGCATCGTTCGTGCATACATCTATACATCCGTCGTCAATTTCGGCTACCTCTGACGTAGTTACGCCCGCCTGGTGAAGGGACGCCAGTCCATTACAGGGCACTACAGAGTTGCCAACATCAGTCAGTTGGCTGGCGTGAGATTTTCAATTCAAGACAAGTCTGCACGCGCATTTACATTTATGTAAGAGTTTTATCACTTTGTAAATAGTCTGTAGGGTTTTGAAACTACCCCAACGCTCTTGATATAGCTAATTTTAGGTGGAATGTAATGGAATAATATAGATTTGCTCTAAGATTTCTTGCGTGAGCGTGAGAGTCAGAAAGCGCGAGCGTCACGCCACATGCGTGAGAGCTGGCAGCCCTGCGACCAACATCCAGCTCAAGAGCGGCTCGAGGTCGCTGAATTACGCTGATAGACTATCGCGGCATTGCGGTAGAAACAAGAGCAGTCTGGAAGGGAGAGGAATACGCACAGTTAACTCCTGTAATCTTTATCTATAAACGTTTCTTTTTACCTTTCTTTGTTTAAAGGCCGATAAATTAGACGGGGCTGCATCACCAGGCCCTCTACTGAATGCTCTTCACCCTGGGATTATGCGTTGGATCTGCGTTTTTACCCACATTTAAGCTTTTATTTTGCATATTATACTGATTGGTGTTAGGATATCCGGCGTCTGTGGTCACTCAGTCCGCTGGACACATCCGCAGTTCAGCTTTGCTGCTGTTGTTAAATATCGGTATTATTTTTGAAACCCTTATTGATGACTTGACTCGAATCGGTCGCTGGGTTTGAACCGCCGTTGACGCGGCATCCGTCGTGGGTACCCTGTGTCAGCGCGATGAAACACCTATTAGCTTATGTTCGTTCGGCCAAAATGCAAATATCACATTAAAAACAAGACTAAAGCAGCCAGCATGCGTACCCTAAGCATGCATGTAGTGACATTAAGTGCCTGTGTGTAAATAGCGTTCTTTTCATTAGCTACGGAGAATACTTCAGACTGCTGGCCAGGCTAACTCAGCAAAACTCTCCCCCCCGGCCCCCCTCCCCCTTCCCCGCGCGCGCATTCACTTCCCCTCATTTCTGCTGATTCAGAGCATAGAGCAGCCTGTCTGTCAGCTCTCTCCGCGGCCTGCTCCGTGTGTGCGTGTGTGTGTTATAACGCACTGTGCCCGTACTCGTGTCGCTATGTTCCTCATCTCCACCCGTCTTATTTCAGGTAACCTGAGTTGACGTCACACTCCTGCACCCCCCAGGAGGATCAGACACGTAAGCAACCTCCTGCCCTTGAACCCGAAAAACGAATTAAAGGGATATGAAGAGCGATCCCGCTTCCTGGGTCTGTGAAGACGTGTGCGTGTGAGTGTGCGCGAGTGTGCGTTCTGTGCGCACGTGCGCTGTGTAGGTTACGCATTTGGAGCCGGGTGCATGATGGAGTCCCTCAGTGTCTCTGCAGTGAGCTTCTCTGGGATTCAGCGTGCAGGGCCCTGCGTCTCTCTGCGTGTATTAGTGTGTCTGCACGCGCGTGTGAGCTCTCCACAGATCCTGATGTAGCTGATCGTGCTCAGTGGTGACGGCGCCGCGTCCCAGAGTCCCGTACGGTGTGTTCCCCTTGCCGGCTGAGGGCGAGCGGCGTCC